TGACGTTTATTCTACTATCCAATAAGAAGACCATATTGAGCTTGCTTTATACTGCATGTAACCATAGCACATCTTCTTCACATTCAACAATAATATTTCGCAAAAAATTTTTAAGTCGCACAAATATAGTCTTGTTAAAATAAAACATCTGCGAACGCTTTCCTGTCAATATTGATAGGGACTAATTTGTCGAATACCTCAAAACATTTAATAGGGCGGAAAAGTAAAATGACTTCGCTGGTGTTGACGCAACAAAGTTGAAATTTTTGACGATCGCGGCAATCAGAGAAATCTTTTTCACCATCAATGATATAAATCACCTAAAAGGTTATTATAAAACTGAAGCATCGGTGTTAAAATTTCGTTTGATTAGGATCGTTGGATTAGTCAGATTACTTTATAACAGGGCATCATTAGACACAAGCGCAGGAGTAAATCCTATGTTATATACTGAAAGTTTTTACTTATTATGTAAAGACTTTTGATGAAGATCATTTGGAACCATGTAATTAAAGGTGATACGTCTTGTAATGTTTGATGGAGCTATGCATGGAAAGAAAATGGAAGCTGGATTTATTTGCCAGGTTACATAATTAAATCCCAAACACTTCTCCGCCCAACGTGATTACTTGTTTGGGTAAATTCATTCTTTATTAGTACCCCGATGTGAGAAATATCATATAATATTTTTCCACAGTTGGCAAACTGAGATTATAACTTTAATCTGGGTGAATATTAATACTTGTTGCGTTTTAATAATGAATAAATTTAAAAATATGCGGTCATGAAATTGTTTGCCTAATAAATACATTAATATTTTGATGCCAAGGATTATGTTCATTAAAATCGCAAAGACGATTCGTTTAGAAACTTAAACAATAAACACGTGTTGATGTTTTAAATTTCAATTGATAAAATGAATGACATGGATTTAAATTAAAATCGAACGCTTGCCATTGTAAGCCGCAGAAAACTGCGTCATGAATACCGCAGGGTTGCTACATACATCCATTTTCTATTGTTAAAGTTATTTTTCTACTCTTCTATTTTATCTAATGTCATAGTTCATGTTTTCATAATAGATATCCGAATGACATCATTTTTATTATAAATTTAAAAGATAATAATTGACATCTTTGGCATCATCGCGTAGTATAGTATAAATACATAGATTTGATTTGATGACTACCTACACAAGTGAATCCTGTCAATTGTTTATTTATTTTGAAAGATTAATGTATTGTTTGTTGAACTTGGTTTTAATAAATTTCTAGGTTAACACCATACCAGACTACCTTGCTTTATATTTTCGGCTGCGGCGTAAACTTGATATTAAAACAACCAAAAAGTTTCCAGAATTTACTCTAGTTTTGAACGCTTCCAACAATTTTTCGCTTCAAGAGAAAAATCAAAGTCATTACGTTATTACTTTTACCGCTGAAGCCGTGTTCTGTAACCGCGGCCAGTCCCGTGATTGGCTCAAGATAGGGTTTTAAGATAAACCAAGAGTTCAATAAAGGAATTTTATCAATTCATTTGTTATTACCTTTTGTCGTGTATTAATATAGGAGTGATTGTGATAAAGTATTGTATTTAATTCGACGTATTGAATTAAAAATAAATCATTTTTGTTTACAGTTACCAAGCCAACGCCGCAAGAGTTTTAAAATACAAGCTTGACGAAAAAAGCCTAGAGATACGACTTTTGAATTAAAATCCGGTTTAATCCGGTTCATATTTAAAATCAGATACAAAATTTACCAATACAAAAACCGGATTTATTATATTCGGATTTATCTGAATTTTTTGATCATATAAATGCGGCAAAACGTTTGATGTTTGAACGCATGTAAATTCTTAATTATAATTAATGTACAATTTTTATTAAGCTATTTATAAAATAAGGCAAATACAATTAAAAGCACAGTTTATTTTATGTATGACGATATAAGTTTGAATTTAATCATTAATTATGAAAATTATTTATTTTTCCTTGGAAGATTTATAAATTACTTGATTATAAACACTGTAACTTACATTTGAATTCAAATAACAAATACTGAGCTAATGATTATTTAGACCCAAAAACTGAAATTAGACGATGTTGTTTAATATATCTATCTTTTAACCTTTATTTAATGCTAGCTCATCCAGATATAATTATTCCTGATATAAAAAAATAAATCTGGCAATCTCTAAATTATTTAATCATTTCTATGTCAAAAAATTCTTCATAATTAAAGAAAATTTAACATATCAAGTTCTTACAACACAATTTAGATAGTTGTTTAAAAATTTATGATAAATAACCCAGCCATATAATATCAACTTTGAGAGATTTTTTAAGCAATGATTTGCTCTAGGAAATTGAACCTCTTTAATATGTCAAGGATCCGACACCATTCATAAACATTTTAATAATTCTGATAATAAATATCCATTATCGAATTCTTTTCAAAACTATTGATCGCATGCTTGATTATACGAATATTGAGGACTTTGAAATACGATGCATATTTATACCTTGGATGCGTTGTCTTGAATATTTCGTTCTTGTCATTCTCGTTATATTCTTGATATAAATAGTCTTTCTAAGGCAAACAATCAGGGTAATGAGATATTTGATAAATCATTATTTGACTCAGCACGAATTCAAACGTCCTTCCATATAATTCTTGCTACCTCTTTGGAATAAACAGAATTTAGAAATAAACATGAAAATAAAGAATTATTATCTAAATATTCTAATATTTCCAAAATGCAATTGAGGTTTAGTCGTGGAGGCATTTTTAAATTTTTATATTTTATCCAAATGTACAAGTTATTACGGTAAGACAATTTATAAATAAATTTCACAACAGCGGCTTGACTGAAAATCATAAAAAGTAAAATTTTATCCCCCCCCCCCCCCCTTCCCCCTCCTTTCTATTTATCTAATAATATTGTTTTTTAATATTATTATGATATCACGGATTCTTTATAAAAATTAACTATACAATAATATATTGTAATATAATAGATAATTACTTATTATATACTACAAAATTAATTAAAATTTTTATCAGCCGTAATGTTTTGAAATTAGTTCTTTTAATCCTTTGCGGTTAGTTTAAATAGGTATATATATATTTTTTTTATTGTTGTAGTATTAATGATTGCTCTTTCATCTAAATTTTTCAAAAATTAATTAAAAATAATAAAAATATAATCAAAAATAATCGAAGATGTATTTAACATTTAAAATTTGGTGGATATAATTGTTAATTGAGAAAGCATTATATCTTGCTTTTATTGAATAAATGTAATTCGTCTTCTATGAATTTATTAATAAGTTTGTTCTTTCAGTAGGTTTCAAAAGTAAAATTCGGATAAAAATAAAAATTTGTTAAATATTATTAAATTTATAAAATTAAAAAAAAACAAATTCTACCTTTTTTCGTGTTTTTTTTTTAATAGGTCTTCCTTTTTTAAAAAAAAGAAGAATCTCGTATAAATGACGAAAGAGAATGTTCCATAATTTTAAGTCAAATAAAAATAATATCCTTACGTTAAATAATCAAATTAATCAATATTGATTATCCATCGGTTCGGTCAAATAGTCAAAATTTAACTGATCGTCATTATGAATTGAACACCATTTGGTTAAACAATTTTTTTTTTCTTTTACTAAAAAAATATGAGTTAGTGTAATCTAAAGATGATTGGCTATTGGAGTTCAATTTAAATTGGTTATTATTTATACAGTTTAAAGTAAAATGGTGGTGTGACACTAAGGCTGTTAAAATAATCCTGGTTGATCATGTGATCATATTTATTTTATTATTGGTTTAACATCTCACAAATAAAAATAAAAAAGTTACGTGAAATTAATAACTGACTGATTGACCAATCTTTCCGACGTTTTTCTTCAAATAAAATGTTCTATAATTAAACAACGTACGGGGCTGTTTTTCTTTAAAGAAAACGCTTAAACAGCAATTTTCTACAAAGGAAACGTTCCGGTAACATTTCTCTTAATGGGAATTCGTTCCGAAAAAGTTTCCCTCGAAGGAAAATCTTTTCGTTAACGTTTCCCTGGATTGGCTTGGCTTGGATTGTCCATTTATGCACCCGAGACAAGCCTAGCCGGCCAAAATAAAAGAGACTCGGTTTGGTCCAATGGTCAAGCCAGCCAAGTCGGAATTTTCGGAGCTTTAACTGAAGCACTGAAATTACACTGTAAATCAAAAAACAAATGAGACACGCACAGTATTTTCATTACAAAATACCAATAATTCACAAATAATTCATCTTAATTGAATCCTTGCTGAACAATTATGATCAGGAATTTAACAAAGAACATCGAGATTAGATTATTTCATAGTGGTAGTATTGAAGCTTTTGGAAACAAGTTCGATGAAATTTTGTTGTCTGTTCTTTGTAACCGAGATCAACGGATTAATTTCTTAATTTTTTTAGACTTTATAATGAACATAAATAGCGATTACTGTCTGTTTTACTTTACAATCTAACCATTTTTTTTCTCTATATTAGTTAACAGACGATCATATAAAATCAAATAAAATGTTCCAATTATAAATTTTTACATTGTTTTATTATTTTTTTATACCGAGAAATTTCTAATTTAAATAATTTAAAATATTTTATGCTAAACATTATAAAAAAAAAAATATAACGTACAAGCTAATTTTTGATTTCTTAAAACAAAACAGACTATTTGATTCTATTTTAAAAGAAATTAAATGGGGAGTTTTGATATGTACAGTACAAAAGACTCATATTTAAACAAAAATCTAAATTCAAGTGGTTATAAATTCGTTAACATTGCTCCTTTTTAACCAAATAAATATATCTTTCTTTTCATTTTTTTTTCACAAAAACAAAAAAATTAATTCGGCAAAATGAAATTCTCATCCACTCTTACAATACCTTCAATAATTACTACGCTGTTCTGCTACCATTGCATTTTTAGGATATGGCCATCATTTATCGATTTTCTCCTATTGATTTTGAGAACATGAATGCTTTGCAGTACAAGCTGCCGTCAAAACAAATTGTTTTCCTCTTTCCACCTGCGAAGCGCCCACCATAGCTTTTTCTTATTATCCCGAATTTATTAATAAACGAGATATAAGTAAAATGAGGGTAAAATAAATTGGTATTGTATTAGGATTAGAAGTTGGAGATACCGATAAATTTCGTGTTTGTGGTCTTGGTCTTGGTTGTATAATGAGTCATAAAATTGGTTGAGGACATTGTCGGTACGGTCTTTTTTTTTATTAATTTTGTTAATTTAAATTTAAATACACAGGGTTCTTTACTAATTAAAAATGTCTAACTAGTTAAAATCAGTCGGTAAACTGGTCAGTCAAAAGACGGTCGGTCAGAAATCTTTGACGACATCTGCGGTTAAATAATTGATTTATGTTATATGCCAAAAAAGTATTAAATATTTTTTTTTGGTTTCCCCAAGAAGAAATGTAAATGTTGTAGTAGCTATACAATTCGACATTCTTATTTTCAAGCCAAATACATAAAGAAAAAGTAATACTCAATGAAATTGATATAAATTTTTTTTCAAAGAATATGAAATATAGATATGATTCAAAACAATGGTTTGGGAAATCCCTTGTAATTTTCGATAAACATATAAACACAATGATAAGAATGATTATTAAAATTCTTAATTAGGAAGTCCAAATACAGTAAATCCGGATATAATACATCCGGATTGAATCAGATTTCGGATCCGATTTTTGAAATTAGGATATAAAAAAAAAAAAAAACTCTAGTACTACGCTTTTTTAAACTTTATGAATGTAATTTTACTATTTTAATTTAATATAATTATCATTTAGCGTCCCTTTTGTACTGTGAGTGAGCTTTTTTAATCGAGAGAATGATGTGAATCCAAAAAAATTGAGACCTTGAAATTAAAACAAAAAATTGCATGACGATCGCCAAAACTTGATTAGTTTATAAGCTCGATCATATATACAGTACAATTTAGTTTAGTTACTTTTTGTTACTTTTTTTCTTCAAAAAAAAAAAAAAAAAAAAAAAAAAAAATAAATGTCAAACGATATTAATGAATATCTTATTTGGATAGAAAAATCAATTGCCGACGAATATTTCAATTATTATGAATATTCGAACTTCAAAAATATACAACCAATAGGAAGTGGTAATTTTGGAAAAGTTTCTCGTGCTATTTGGAAAGATACTGATTCCATTTTTGTTTTGAAGTCATTCGACGATTATAAGTTAACTCTTAAAGAGATTGTCAATGAGGTATTGAAATATGTAATGACTTTAGAACATTCGATTAAGTAACTCTAATATTAAAAATTAAATGATTTATATGAATTGCAAAGATAGAATTTGGTAATACAACTTTTTTATGCAACTATTTAACATGAATATTAATTATACAATTTTGTTTAGATGCATTTCATCAAACGAATTCATACTTATTAGTTTTAGAATATGCTGATGGTAATACATTAAATAATTATTTAAATCAAAATTTTGAGAAACTTGATTGGAATGATAAATATCAGCTAAAATTGTGATATTATTCATCGCGATCCGATAATATTTGTTTTATTTATATACATATTTTTATAATTTTAATGTTATTTTAAAAATTTTCTTTTTATCACAGCATGCAAATAATATACCTGTACATCAAAAAAGAATCAAGATAGCAAACTTTGGTTTATCAAAAAAAATTGCTGAAACTTCAAACGGCGCAAATAATTTTGCGTAATACCTTACATGGATCCAAATGTTTGGATAATCAAAATAAGAGAATAAAAAATATAAGTATTGCATCACGAGATACTATAACCTTGATCTGCAAAACTGTACAGTCAACTCTTGTTATAACGAACTCTATGTCCTAGACCTCAACTTCGCTATAAGGCTATAGTGAAGAT